CTTCTCCACTGTTGGTGGGAGTGTAGACTGGTGCAACTATTATGGAAATCAGTGTAGAGAGTCTCCAAAAAACTAGAATCAGGGGTCCCCTTCAACCCAGCTATTCTCTTCTGGGTATTTTCCCAGAAGAACTACAAACATCATAGCATAGTGATATATATGTGCACCTGTGTTTATATCAGTGCAATTTGTTATAGCTAAATCTTGGAAACAACCTAAATCCATCAACTGAGAAATGAATAAAAAAGATGTGATATTTTTGCACAATGGAGTATTACTCAGCTATAAAAAGAAGATAAATTTGAGGCTTTTATAGGTAAATGGATGCAACTGGAGACTATACTCTTAAGTGACATAAATTAGACCCATATGTGTAAACATCATATTATCTCCTTAATGTAAGAACCTGTAAGAGTAAATAAAATTGGAAAGGTACAATAGGTACTTGAAGGGGAAAGAAACTCTTCAAAGAAAAGGAACAACTGGGATGAAGGAAAAGAGAAAAGAAAGAAGGAAGGGGAAAAATATATATGACTGTTAGGTATCCGGATATGTTGCTTCTCTAGCCAGCAAGGAAACTAATAGTCTGTATAACAGGATCATTAACATCCACATCACCAAGCAACACAGTTCTAAGAAATAGAAGAGATAACACATGTGAACTGCTGGTATTGTCTAGGTACTCACCAGATGTCACATTCCCACAAATCCACATTGACGCCTTGATCCTACTCATCATCCTATTTCATCACTCGATCATCCACTAGCTCCACTGACCTTGTCATTGCTCTGGACTGTTAAAAGTTACTAAAGGGAGAAAAGCCAAAATAAAGCCATGGCAGACAAGGGCCTAGCTAGGGCCTCCACGGTGGCCTCTTCCTCTTGCTCTTCCTGTTCCTTCTCCTTCTACTGTTTTTCCACTCTTGCCAGCCCCCTCTTCTCCTTCTTATTCATCTTTTATGAACATGGTTTTGTTACTAACCAAAAGTCCTAATACCCACCCTTAATGCTTCCTCTCATCAATCCTCTAGAGAGGTGCAATTCTCTTCTATAAGCTCAGCAAAGCAGAGCCTTGTTGGTGATTCACAGCCACACCTTTGTCCCTGCATCTTCCAGTAAAGATTATGCTAGGATAGGACAAGGGTAGCACTTTCCAGAAAAAGTACTCTCTCCTTCCCTAGTGGAAGAATTATTTGGTTATGAAGTACTATTAAAAACTTTCCCTTTGAAGAAAGGTCCCCTCCCACCAAAGTTTCAGGGATGAAAAGAGTATCTTAAAGAACTGAGATGTTCCATTTGATTTTCTATGCCCCAGAGAAATAATAGCTGGTATAGCATATGGCTTCAGAACATATGTATGAAGACAAGGAGTTAGGCAGATAATTGAGTTACCCACAGACATTCAATTTATGATACCCCGCAGCATCTGTGAGTCCCAGATGCATCCTCCTGGCTCTGTGGCTCTCCTGGCACCTTTAGAAACACTGGAGAATTGCTTACAGGCTTTTCTGTATACTAAGATGAAACAGGACTGGTTTTCCTTTTCAGCTAGGCTACTTGTCAGAAAACACTCAGTTCTCTACTTAGCTGTTCCAGAGTAAATAAGTTTCTCCTTGTGCATCTCAGTTTCTAGGTTCACACGTGTGGCAGTCCTTCATTGGAGCACAGCTGACAGTACCTTACAATTGTATATAGGTTAGGTTTTCCCATGCTCTCTCTGAGAAGAGAGGCCTGCAATTTTGCCAAGGCATCTATTGTCATTCCATACTTGGGAAAATGCTATTGTTTATTTTCTGGCAGGGATCAGAGTGCTTAGAGAATTAGAAATTGCACTGATAAGTGGTTGTAATTATAGGATGATCAATTTGAGAACCATTAGAATTAACTTGAGAAATATATATGTATTTATTTCTATATGTCCTGATTTCCAGGTGGCAATCAATGTGTGGGGAGCTGAAAGTCCAGTTACCTTTATCTTCTTCATAGTTTGGTCTCCAATGCTATAAGTTGAGAATGACTGTGACTTTAGATCCTCTCAGAAAGCAGAGCTGCACGGATCACTCCAATCAGTGTCTGTTTGCCTTATTTAAACCTTGACAATGTGGCTTACTTTAAGCTGCTCTCCCTTTAATTCTTTCTATATTACTTGCAGATTCATGAAGGTGGCGGGAAGCACAGTGGATGCAGTTACCTGGCAACAGTAGGTATTCGTCATTTTTGTTCCTACTTATTTTCAGTTGCTATAAAATTAATGATACTTAGTTGTGACCATGTTCATGGTTGACATTTCATAAGGTATCCTTTATTTGTTGAAAAGAATTGAGGATTGAAAGTTGTTCTTAGCACATGCTAACTCATAGTACTATAATTTTGTTTTTAAAACACAAAGCAAGACATAGCAAAAAACTGATACATTTTGGAAAGCTGAACTGTGCAGTATACTTTCAATCTGTCATGAATGAAAAATAATGGTAATGTAAGTGTCACCATTTCTCCATTGCCTTTTCTTTTGAGAATAAACATCTTTAAGAGAGAAAATGGTTTTAATTGTTCAATGTATCATGTGAAAATAGAAACACTTTACTGCATTATAAGTGTGATGTTAATTAGTGCCAAGCAATTCATAATATGAACCACATTTTTTAAAAAGAAGAAAAAGATCAAGAGAATGAAGCACTCTGAGGAAAGATGACAAACCCTTGCACTCCAGGCAGAAGCTTCCCGCTGCAAAGATCCCTTACTCTCAGGGGTAGCTTGACCTGTAAGAATAATTATCTGATATACAGATATTCCTTACATAACTAAGGACTTTGTACCAGGACATCTAGCACTGTCCCATGATGTGTCACTTATTTTATACTTAAAATTTGATTTTCTCCAAGAAATCTCTCCTACAACATCTCAGGCACCTCCCATTTAATCTGGTCATCATGACATTTTTGTGCTCTCATTCTAGCCTATGGCCAGGTACGGATCACTTTCTCAATTACTCTCACCCTTCCCACCTGGTTCATGTATTCTTCTTTTCTGTTCTGTGTTTTTAATGTGTCACTCTATCCATTGCAGATTGTGGACAGGTGTGAAAGAAAGAGAAGTGAATGGGATCTTTATAAACTACATCAAAAGAATTTTGGGGTTATGGATAGTCAATAACCTCAATCTCAATGGGGAATGTTTAGTTTATTGGGTGACTTGTTTGTTTTTCATTTGGGTTTATTTTGTTTTTGGTTTTGGTTTTTTGTTTGTTTGTTTGTTGTTGTTGTTTTCTGTCTTTTCTTTTTTGAGACAGGGTCTCACTATGTAGCTCTGGTGGGCCTTAAACTCATGGTGATCCTCCTGGTTCAGCCTCCCAAGTTCTGGGATTACAGGAATGTGCCACCATACACAGCTATTTTAGTTTATATTTATATACTTGGTTTAAATAATTTTCAAGTATTTTCAAATCTTCTTTTCTTTGTTCAATTTGTTTTAGCAAATTGTGGATCGAGTCTGAGGATCTTATTATTCCCTTGCTTAAAACCTCCTGGTATCTTCTCCCTTTTGCACTTAGAATAAAACCAAACTCTTTACCCTGGTATTTAGTTTTTGACCTCTGTTGCTTTCTGATCTCCTTAGTTCTCCTCTTCCTAATGGTGAATCCCTACCTGTGGTGACTTCTCAGTTGTTTGAAAGCTCACATAGCTGTGAGGCTCACAAGCTTTGCATGTGCTGCTGTCTGTCACAAGGCAATGATTGGAATTTGACTCTCATAAAGTTGTAAGGGTTTGAAACATACCTTATGCTTTCCAGTGAAACCTGAAGAAATTGTACTTCAGAAATCCCAGGGCTAAAGCTTTGCCCTACCACTAAAGGTATTACCAAAATAGACTTTTCCAACTTGTGAGCTCATGCCTTCCCAAACACAAGATAATCAGTCATTCCTTCAGCTTCCTGCTAGATCCAGAAAATACTCTTACATATCCACACTTTCTAGTACATAATTTTATTTTAAAAATTAATAGAAATGTGCAAAGAAATGGGAATATTTGACCCATGGCAAGAGAATAATAAATAGAAACCCTTAGATGTGTATGATTAAAATTAGCTGCTAAAGATTTTAAAGAAACTATTGTAAATACTTAGAAGATTTAACGGGAACATGTCCATATTGAGGTATTACATAGGAAGTATCTACAATGAAATAGAAACTATAAAATATCCTCTAGTGACCACTATTGCACTCTTTACTTTTATGACATAAACATTTTTAGTTTCCACATAAGAGTGAGAATATACAGTGTCTGCCTTTCTGTGACTGATCTATGTCCCATAACCTTTTGTCCTTCAGGCTTATCCATGCTGCCACACTGGCAGGATTTTATTCTTTATTATGGCTGAATATTATATCTGTGCAAAAATATAGACAAAATACCACAAAGGGTGGGACAGGGAGAAGACAGTAAGTGGAATTATACTGCTGCCAAGTCCCTTTATAAGAAGTACTAAAATATTTAAGAAAATTGCAATAAGAGTGAAATTGTATTCCCAGAGGAATCATTTAGAAATACTGGCAAAAACTAGCTTTAACAACCAGATTTTAATGAGAATACTAAGAAAAAAATGAATTAACCTTTTACAAAGCAGGAAGGACTGCTTCTCAGCCTTTGGCTAAAATCAGGTATAAAAAGAAAGAGATGAAGAACAGGAAGATAAAAATAAATGAAGAAAATAAATATGTGCAGAAAATGGAAATTGAATAGCAAAATAGTAGCTCTAACCACAACCAGATTAATTATATTAAGTGTAAAGTTCTAAGCAATATAGTCAAAAGGCAAAGATGATGAGATTGGATGCAATGGAAGACCCAACTATATTCTGTCTATAGTAGACACAGGGGCCAGGCATATAGCTCAGCAGCATAAGCACCTGCCTGGCAAGTGAAAGGTCCCAAGTGTGATCTCTGGTACTGCAAAAAACAAAACAGAACAGAACAACAAAAAAACCCCACAACTTTAAAATATGTATATATATATATAGTAGACACAAAGACACAGATAAATTAATATAAAAAAGGCAATGACATATCATATAAGCATAAGCATCGATTGAAACTATATTAATAGTTGACATACTAGAAATCAAAAAAGGGAGTGTTTCCAATAAAAAAGAGCCCATGTATAGGGATAGAAGGTTTGGTTTATCAGGAACACATAATAATCATAAGTAGAATGTGGCTGTGGTAGGCAGAATCATGCTCCCTCCCCCAAGATGTCTGCATCCTAATATGCAGGGCTTATAAATATGTTAGGCTCAATTGAAAAAGGGGAATTAAGTTTACAGATAGAATCAAGACTGCTAATCTATTGATCAAAAGGAGAGAGTTTATACTGAATTACTTGGATGGACCCAAGTAACCATGAGTGCAAAAGGGAAAGAAAGGGGGAGGTAAGGGGACATTTAACCACAGACGAGGAAGGTACAGTGATCCAGTGGAATGTTGACTTGACCTCCCATTGCTGCTTTTGTTTTTTGTTTGTTTGTTTGTTTGTTTTTACAATTTATTTATTTATTCCATAATTTTATTGAGAAACAAATAGCAATGAGACAGTTTTAAACCAAATTGGTAGTACAGTTTCAATAATTAACACATTGCATACATTCCTCCTAGTGGTTAATTGCTGTACAAGATGTGGACTTGATATCCTATTTACAAACACTATTAGAACAAATCCCTCTATTCATTAAGAGAATGTAACTATATATCTATCCTAACCACTTTGAATACACAGATACAAAATGGTTTTTTCTGTGTCTCCCTTTTTTTGTTTAGTTCCATCATTTAAATATTATAGGTGTGTAAACTCAGCAAAATATTCTAAAAGAATCCAGTAGTCTATAATAGTACTGGGTCTTCCACTTCACTGGCAATGTCAGAAACTGTTGACCTGAGTCCCCTACAGCTCAACATAACAGCATGGCTTTACTTCTTATACTTCGTTTTTGTACTTTTCTGCTGGATGGTTAAGACCAAGGTAAAGTAGGACCTGTGCAACAAGAGTTGTAGCTTTTGGGTCTTTGAAGAGGAAAGAAGCTAAAGAATGTGGGCAGCCTGTAGAATCCAGAAAGGGAAGGCTGGATGTTGCCCCTTAGCATCTCCAACAGGAAAGCAGCTCTCTCCATACCTTGATTTTAGCTCAGTGAGACCTTCCTTGATTTCTACCTACCAAAATATAAGATTATAAATTTGGATTGCTTGAAGACACTGCTTGTGGTAATTTTCATAGAGCAGCAGTAGAAAATTAATACAGTACCTAATAATACAAATTTAAAATATACAAGGAAAGCACTAACAGAACCAAAGGCGAAAAGTGAACAAATGTACTATCATAGCCAGAGATTTTAAAACACCTCTTTCAGAAATTAATAAGATAACTACAATTAAAATAAAAACAAGAAAGATATAGAAGATGGAATAATACTATTTTTGACTTGAAGTACTGACATATGTAGAATATAATTGAATGTATTCTTTTCAATTATATATGGACCATTCACCAAGGTAAACCACAAAAAGTCTAAATAAATCTCAAAGTATTGAGATTATGCTTTAAATGACAAAAAAGAAGTCGATATTTGTAATAAAATATGTACACATTTAGAAGTCAATGCAATTAAAAATAATCTATAGGTTACAGATGAAATATTTAAAAGTAGACAATATTTATTTTATTTGTTGTATTTAGGACAAGGTCTTAAGAGTCTCACTGCATAGATCGGACTCGTAGCGATCCTCCTGTTTACAGCCTCCCGGGTGCTGGGTACAGGTGCATGCCACCACACCTGGTCACAACGGCCTTCTCAGCACACCCCCAGGGGAGGGGCTGGCATGGCAGGCCCAGGGATCAAACTCCTGGCCCCTGCATCTCCCTAAGCAGGCACTTTAATCCTCTGAGCTATTTGGCCGGCCCTTAAAAGTAGAAAATAATTTTAAATGATTACGAAAATATATTGTATTAAGGGATATTTAGCAAAAGCAGAGCCTAAAGAGAAATTTACATTCTAATAAGCTTATATTACAGGAGAAGAAACATTTAAAATCCATGGTTCTAATTTCTAACTAAAGAAGTTAGAAAAAGAGCAAAATAGACCCAAACTAAGTAAAGTCAATGAAACAAAAATAAAAGTAATTAATAAGGCAGAAAACTAAAGTGTTTCTTCTGA